ACATTAGGTCCTCATTTTTCCCCTCCCTCCCCGCTCCCCCCTCCCTCATGAGCCCTTGACAGTTTATAAATGGGTATTTTGTCACATCTTGCCCTGTCCGCAGCATTGTACTTCAAGATCGATCTGCAATGTTCTTTTTGACCATGCATGCCGTATTATTTCTCTTGATTGGGTCAGTCCCAGTATAGTAAACCATATGATTGTCTGATTAAGAATAGTCAATACCAGTCCATTTCAGTTCACCAAACACCTAGAATTTTAATATTTATAGCTTCCTTTTCATTTTGATGCTGCTCATTTTCCTAGATTCATATATTGCACATTCCAAATTCCAGTGATTAGATTTTTTGCAGCTGTTTTCTCATCTTGAGTTGTCCCCATTAGTTAATGACGGGGCCAGAGCCCCCCCCCCCCAGGCTTTACTCCCTTCCCGTCATCATGGTCAATTCTACTTTGAGAGAGCAGACCCTCCTCAGTCACATTTCGAGTGCCTCTGACCCCAGGGGCCCCTCCTCAGACACTATGTCTGACAGTGTCCTGCTTCCATGCACCAGGTCTTCAGTCTCTGAGAGTGTTTTCAAGCTGTGCATGCGGTTTCCAGTGGCTCCTTCCTCCCAAGTGTGTAGCTGATCCCTTCTTTACAGTCTTTCCTTAGTCTGGAAGCTCCACTGAAACCCGCTCACTTTGGGTAACCCTGCTGGCATTTGAAATGCCAGTTATATAGCTTACAGCATGACAGCGACACACAAGCCTCCACGATATGACAAAATGGCAAACAAATGGTGGGAATGTCATCATAATGCAGCCATATACAGGCACTCAAAGTATCAACCAAATTCTTCATTATCAATTGGGTTCTGCTCAACTTAGTCTTATCCTTCCGCTGGGTCAAATGGGCACCAGTAGCAAGCTTGGGAGTTTACACACACTTACCTGGACTGCAGAACACCCGGTCCTTTCACACACTGTCATCAGTCCTAAGCTGACCATGACCATAAGCTCAGGTTCTGATCAGCTCTTTAACTTCCTATTCTCTCTCATCTCTAGCCTCTGTGGGTCAGATCAATGGGTACTCCCGGAACAGGTGCAAGGTTCAAACTCAGCCCATTTTTCTATTGCTCTGTCTCCCATACTTCCACTCCACACGTGGATACAGGTGGTCATATAGCGAGCATGCCAGTCTGCCTACTAGCTCCCCTTAACTTTCAGTCCTAGAAGGGGGCTTTCTCTGATGGGCAGACTTTTCCAGCCTTGACATAGCAAAAGGCAAACTGCTTGCTTCAATATTTTAAAAGCCAAATAGTCTCCTTCCCCTTTCCCCCCCTTCTGTAATCTTTCCTTCAACTTTAGATTTCTTATTCTCTCGGCAGTTTTGGGTAGGTCTGTATGTTATTTCAAATGCAAATACCCTGACACTCAGGGCTCTAGGTGTGGATCAGTTTTCCAAGCCCTCTTTACTCTCTACAATGACATTGAATAAACTGTTTCTTCTAGGCAATTTCTAATTCCCTGCATATTGAATCCATTGAGTATTGGCTAAAATCAGGCTTACAAGTTCTCTCTCATCATAATTCTCAATAATCATTTTTATCACACTTTTATGTCTATAATGTTAAGGTTGCAGAAACCAATAGTCATAGTACACTCCGCTAAACTTAAGATCAGCTAGAATTAGTCACTTAAACATTTTATTGTGAATTTGGTGAAGGTGACAAATCTGATCATTACTTTTACCTTCAGCAATTCACTTCATTCATTCAACACTTCTGTTCATCTCACTCATTGCAATCCACTCAGTGTAGAATGTTTTCATTCTTTCTTCTTTCTGAACTCTGTCCTTCAACAAATGCTACTCTTTTAATCTCAAATGGTAATTAGGTTTCCCTACTCTGTGGGCAAAGAATCTCACCGCTGTGTCTTCCGATCTGGCTCTTAGTTCTGGGGATGCAGATCCTCTGCCGCTCACCTGGGAAACTCCAGATCCTCAGCACTTGGCGAGATCAGACTCTGTGCTGCGCTTTTAGGGAAACAATCCTCATAAGAAAGAGACATCAAACATAAAAGCCAAACCTAGAGATTTCAACAATTCAAACAAAAAAAACCAAACTCACCACCAAGACAATGCTGACCCACAGCGTCCCCGGTGGCTGCCCGAGATTGTAACTGTTTGCAGGAGTAGAAAGCCCAGACTTTCTCCTGGCGGAGCTGCAAGTGGTTTCGAACTGGCGATCATGATGATCTTCTCACCACCAGACTCCTTCAACAATTCTAAAGATTAGGAAATATTTATGAGCAGCAAATAAATTATTTCCTTTTTTACACAACCGTTTTTATTGGGCGCTAATGCAGACATATCGTTCCAAAGTTCAATCACATCAAGGAGTATTGTGCAATTGTTACCACAATAAGTTTCAGAGAAAGAAATTAGTATAGTGTAATAATACTATATATTATAATATAATATTACATTATAATATATTGTATAATTATATTATATTACTATATACTATCTATTATTATCTACATAGTATATATAACTATGCTATACATTATGTATAGTATAAATAATATGGTAAAAATAATTTTCTGTAGTCAGAGCCCTAAAGCAAGGCGGAACTTCCTACCCCATTGAAGGAAGTCCTTTGTTTTCGCACCCGGAATCCTTTTCCGGATGTACTGAGCGCCCGAGAACCCGGAAGCGGAAGTGTGCCTCCTCGGCGCTGGTCCGGCGTAGCGTTCCCCTGGTTTCGCTTTCCTGTGGGCTTCAGGGCGTCGTCCTCGGCCAGCAGTCGGCCCGCTGCACTGACAGGTGACCCGCAGGCCCTGGCCCTGCTGCCCGGTCCGCTCCCAGCCCCCTTCCCGCCTCTCCCCGTGGAGACCCGGCTCCCGGCCCTTCCGCTTCTGCCGCCTGGAGGCGGAGGCGGAGCTGCGTCTCCAGGCGCGTCCCCAGGTAAGACCGTGTGGGTCCAGAATCTCTCTGCTCCCGTGTATTTGCGGTCAGCTCTCCGCTGCCCGCCCACTTCCCCTGCCTCGTCCCTTTGAAACCACTCGTTCCATGTTCACTATAGGTTTGCGTATCTGGGTTTCATATACAGAAAAAAACCCATTCAACACAAAACGAAACGTACATGTCCCAACAACGATGACAGAGTGAAACAAAAACCTCAATCACAAAACAAAGTAGAAACTATTAAGAACTGGAATAGTTCTAGATAAAATGACGGGTTAGGTCACATATGACGTCATTACCACTACTGCGGTCAGTGGCTCGACAACGACGTCCTCTCTCTGACAACAAGGCCTTCGCTCTCTCTGGTCCATAGAGGGGGTTCCTCAGAGCTTAATGCAGATTTACTAATCTGTCATCCATAGCCTTCTGGAATCTGGGTGTTCAGAATTTAAGCCTTAATACCATTCCCTGCCCCCAGGTTTGGTCTTTATTACTTAGAAGTCTTAAATCACATGTGGACTTCTTCCATGTGGACTTAGCGGACACCTCACTTAGGTGGCTGCTTGTTTTACGACAAGCCTTGGAGACCCCGGCTACTATTTTCTCTGATAGCCAAGCACCATCTGCTTTCTTCTCCACACGGTGCTCTAACGCCCATATCTCCCATGATCATTTCACGGGAGCAGGACTTGAGCTGGGTCATGTCATAAGAACTAACTCTTCTTATATTAGCGCTACGATTAAGTGGAAGCTAAAAATCCATTCTTATATCTACAGTTTATTTATATCGCTGGTTCACTTTAAAGGTATCATTTTGTTGAAGGACATTAAAGAGTTTCCCTTTGGGGCATATGGTAGCTATATTGTTATTACCACTAATTTAGGCAATTATATCGAATTTAAAATACCATCAATGAGAATGTATACACATGTATAGGACTGGTTTTTAGACCAAAATGCAGGGCTTCTTGATTTGTACAGATTACCAACTTGGGTGATGGACACTGTTTTCACAAATAATGAAAGGTGGAGATGAGGCAAAACTTCAAATAATAATGTTCACTCATAAAGGTGGACCTGGACTAAACATCATATTAAAAGGCAAAGAGTATATGGACATAACACATATATGGTAGTCTTGAATTGCCATTTATTGGGTATCCTAAAAACATGACTTTTGAGCCAAAGTCTAATGACTTCCTCATCCATAGTACAATATTTGCCCTTTTGTGAGTGATTAATTTCACTTAACATAATGAATTCCAAGTACATCCGTGTCTTGAAGCCGTCTGCTTCTCACACTAGGACATTTCCACTTGAGGACCACGGGAGTATTTCAGTTCCATTAGTCTGCCTCCAGTGTGTTTAAAGTAATGTCCAGTTCGCTTAGTGGGAGTTCCAGGTCAGCTCCTTCTGGTGTTGCCTATGAAGGATGTGGTGCATCTCGAATGGACAGACTCTAAACACATCTTGGTTGTTTGTAGTGTAGCTTGGCTCACCAAGGGCTGAATAAAACTAGGTCATAAGTGCCCAGTTTGGGACATGATACCGAACTTCTTCTCCCATTGGTAGTCCTCTGCTTTCAGTCAAGATCCATCTGACATCAGCAATGATAACCTGTGTTCCCCATCCTCTTCTGAGTCCAGCCTGAACCTCTGGCAACTCCTTGACTATGTACTGCTGCTACCACTGTTGGATAATTTTCAACAGAATTTTACTTGTATGTGATGTTAATGATGTTATTTTATAATCTGAGCATTCTGTGGGGTCACCTTTCTTTGGAGTGGGGGTACAAATATGGATCTCTTCCAGTCAGTTGGCCTAGTAGCTGTCTTCCAAATTGCCTGGCACAGACTCTGGAGTAAGCGCTTTCTGTGGTTCATCAGCATGTGTGAGGGGAATCCAGCCCCTATCACATCATTACAGGTGTACAGCGATAATAAGTAAAGATTATAGTAAAGTCATAAAGAGCATGAGAGATAGAAGAGAGATTAAAATAATGGAGTCAGACACATTTCATGGTAGCAATGCTCACCTCAGCCTCACTTGGTGGTCCACGTGGAGAGAGAGCTATATTTAATGCTAACCAAGGCTTTTATATTCTCTGGGGACTTGCAAGCCCCCTAATTACAGGTGAAGACATACGTCACAGGACAGGTTGTGCTATAGGTAATACGGTAATGGGAAGGGGGTGGTCTAGGGGTATATAAGCAATAGGAAGAGGAGGGATTGGGGGTATACATGTGGCAAGATGGGCATATCCTAGATTCAGGATGGTAGCCTAACTTTGGGTGTCACTGAGCCAGTTTGATCTGTTCTCTAGCTCAACTATAGAGACCATTATCAGTAGGGTGTGAATTCCACCTACAGGCACCAAATTGATGACTGTAAACCTTTAGGGAGAAGTAGCCCATTGTCCTTAACAGCAGGGAGTGGGCCCTACCAATCCAGACAGTAGTCTGGCAACTGACTGCCTTCAGGGAGGTAACTGGACAATCATTTACCATTAGCTGCAAGCAATGTCCTAAGTCTAACATATTTCGGGGAGAAGACTTGGAAGGAATCTTTGTTTCCCGCGAGCATGTTGAAACATTTCAGTTGGTATTCCACCAATTCCTGAAGCCTTGTTTTTGGCTAATACTTTCAGTGCAGCTTGAACTTCCTCCTTCAGCACCACTGGTTCTTGTTCATATGCCGCCTGCTGAAATGGTGGAATATAGTTCTTTTGGGTGCACTGACTGTATATTCTTCCGTCTTCTTTTGATGCTTCCTGAATCATTCAGTACATTGTCCATTGAATCTTTCAATATTGCAACTTGAGGCTTGGAATTTTCCCTTCAGTTCTTTCTGTTTAAGATACGATGAATGTTCCTGGAATTCTGACTCTAGGTTTTTCCATATATCATTGTAATTTATTTTGTCTTCTCAAGCTGCCCTTTTTAAATTTCTGTTCATCTTTTTGGCTTCATTTCTTCCATGTACCTTAGCTAGTCTACAATTAAGAGTGAGTTTCAGAGCCTCGTCTGACATTCATAGCGAGCTTTCATTCCTGTATTTTTTTCAAAATCATTTTATTGGGGGCTCATGAAATTCTTATCACAATCCATCCATCCATCCATGTGTCAAACACATTTGTACATTTGTTGCCATCATCATTCTCAAAACATTTGCTTTCTACTTGAACCCTTGATCTCAGGTCCTCATTTTCCCCCTTCCCTCCCAGCCCCCTCCCTCATGAATCCTTGATCATTTATAAATTATTATTATTTTGTCATATCTTACACTGTCCAACGTCTCCCTTCACCCACTTTTCTGTTGTCTATCCCCCAGGGAGGAGGTTATACAGTAGTGGTAATTTCGAGTAGTTAATTCTTAGAAAGTGCCTTTCTACCTGATGTCATTTCCTCACTACAGATCTGCCTATTGTTTAGCTGCAAAATGAGGCACAAAGGTCGCTTCAGTTGTGTCATTATTGCTCAGAGTGGTCGATATCAACCCCTGGGGGTGCTGAAAGGATTCTGGGGGACGGCAAGAGCAGATACCGCTACTTTATCCATAGGCTGTAACATGAAAGTATTCAATATCCATGGGATGCTATGTAATTGGGTGCTAAGCAAAATGAGTGTAGGAACCTATGGGCTATAGCAGGGGTCCTCAAACTGCAGCCCGCCGAGGACATTTATCCGGCCTGCTAGGTGCTTTTGCCCTGTTTTATTTTTTACTTCAAAATAAGATATGTGCAGTGTGCATAGGAATATGTTCATAGTTCTTTTTTAAACTATAGTCCGGCCCTCCAACGGGTCTGAGGGACAGTGAACTGGCCCCCTGTTTTAAAAGTTTGAGGACCCCTGGGCTATAGTTTTGGAGGCTCCCTCATTCTTCCTGGCGTGTTTAAATGTGACATTTGTCCACATCATGCCTCCCTCACCCCCCACATTCATTTATTACATTTTTATGTTCCTTTGCAGAAACTGGGTCTATGAGTGGTTTCTGCTCCGAGGTGTCTGCTCTTGTATGATTCTGTGTAAGTGCTTAGGATTTCTCTAATTTTAGGGCAGCAGTTTTCCTTTCACGTTAGTTTTAAGTGTGGACCGTGTCCCCCTTATTTTTCTGTTGTGAAGATCGAGGTGACAAGAGCCAAGCTCCCTGTGTATCTGAAATGGGAAGTCTTCATTTGTGTTTTCTGCCTTTACTATGATCTTTATGTTACTTTCCGTCTATGTTTTTGAAAATATTACTTATTTTTCCAGTTTTCTTAATGTATGTTTAGGCTACTGCTGAAATGCCCTTTTTAAGGTGGATGGTTCAAACCCTGCAGCTACTCTGTGATAGGAAGATGACACTGTTCTGAAGATCTTCAGCTCTGGAAACCCTGCACGAGGTCACTATGAACACCATCAACTTAGGCCAGTGGAAGTTTAGGTTTTTGTTTCTTTCTTTCGTAACACCCTCTTGCTTTTGGGGTGGAAACAGTGTATCTTTCCTTTCCTGGGCATGAAGGTCAGTTGGGCCCTTTAAGTCCTGATCCTTTATGTTGGGGCTTTTTGAAATCAACAAGTCAAGCTAACTTTCACCACCTAATGTTCTCTAACATGATTATTTTCTCTGTGCTAATTACGAACTGCAATTCTCATCACTAGATTTTGTGGTTTGCTATTATTATTTGAATAATAGTTGTATTGATAGGATTTCCTTGAAGGGAGATAGATATTATCCTGTCACAAACGGCATTGTACTTCATGAGGGATTTAGCAAGATCCTTTCTGACCGTGAATCCCACACCAGTCCTTTTGATCGTGCTGTTCCAGGCTTAGTGAATCACATGACTTTCTGACTCAAAATGGCCAGTGCTCGTCCTTTTGTGCCTAGGATATTGATCTTCGTGCATTCCATCTCATTTTTGAACACATTAGTCTTTTATTAGGGTGTTAATCCGAGTTGGCTAGAGAAGTCTAGAGACACTCATGGATATAAGAGAGAGCTTTGTATCAAAGAGTAAC